CAGGACCATTAGTGAGGGAAAAAAATTGCCGTCAGAAATGTTTGAAACACCAGCCCACACAGGCAAACAGACAAACTGACACACAGATAGACAGACAGACAGACAAATAGAGACAGTCGTACAGACCGAGCCATAGACAAGGTAAATTGGACGAGATGATACGAACGTGACGTAATGACTGAGGCGCAAAATCGCTTCAAATCACGTTTGACAATACTCTACGACCTATTTTAAGGCTAAATAGTCTTTTGGTTTTTGTCATAAATAATGTTTATTATTATTGCTATTATTATATTTATAATTATTATTAATAGCAGAATAAAGTAATATATTAGCAGTGACAGCAGTAATAAAGTATAAAGTAGTTGTAGTAGTAGTAGTAGTAGTAGTAGTAGTAGTAGTAGTAGTAATAATAGTTTCTTTGTGTCTCAGTTCTTTTGAATGAGAAATATAAAAATCACCGTTAATTGGTTGTGTTTTGTTGTGAAAGTCAAAAATTTCAATGTTTAGGCTTGTGTTGTATCAGGTTCCGTCATATTTTTTGTTAAACTTTCATCTTTTACAAATTTTCTTAGAAACTAATTTGTAATTCAATCAATTTTTTCCTCCTATGTTCTCTTTGTATTCATAAAAATTGTTTTTCTTTTTTTCCATCCCGCTTGCTTTTTTCAGAATTTTATTTTTTCCTTCATCTCAAGTATGAACTTCTAATTTTATTTTTCAAAACTTAAAACGATGTATAGATATGACACATTATCATACTCATATTCATGGTCATTGTCATTACCATCCTCACACCAGCATCATCATCTTTATCATCATCATCATCATTACCATCATCATCATCACACCATCATCTTCTTCATCACACAATCATCCTCATCTTCATCATCATCACCATCATCTCGATCATTGTCAAAATCATCATCATCATAATTTCCACCATTATCATCATTTTTTTCACCCTCACTTTGTGAAGACCCAAGTTATTTCTTCAGACTGTCATAGACTGACAAACACCTTCAATGGTAATTGTAGAACGAACAGCTGGTAAGACATTACTAACACAAAGTTACTAGCGATAAACTACTATCTGTATTACTATCTGCATTACTACTTATAAAATTCTCATGAATACTAATAACACTTATATTATTGATTCTAATAACACTTATCTTAACATTACTGATGCCAAAATAGGAACACTGTTTAATCTATAAGCAAAAATGTGATCATTTGCTTTAATGTTTTAACCATTTATGTATATTCAATTACAATAACTACAATTTAGATTTCAAAAATTACTACCAACACTGCTTAAATTGCTGACAATACAACTTTTACTATACTTTTACGGTGGTAGTACGTTTGTGTCTTTCGTTTAAATTAGATTTTAGCTTGAGTGCATTCTTAAGTAAATTAAATTAGTCCTAAAAAATTAACAAATGCGAAAAATGGTTTTTTGAAGATCTGAAAAAGTTTTTTTTTGTTAAAATTTACATAATTTGTTTTTCTGATGTTATTTTAATATTTTTTTATGTCTATTTTTTAAAATTCTGTGAATTTTAATCATTTTTTTCAATTTTTTCCTCATTTTGAAGGTTGCATGTCGTAAAAACCTTGCGCGCTCTGTCAAATTCTCCCTTCAAATGATTCAATTAAAATACTTACTTAGAACTTCACCGGTGCAAGTCACAATGCCCACAACCACTAATAAAATTACTGCAGCTACTACTACTACTACTGCAAATACTCATACTACCTTTACTACAACCACAAGTATAAATACTATCATTACTACTACTAACACTGCTATCATTACTACTACTAACACTTCTACCCTTACTATTTCTTCTGTTACTAACGCTACTATTTTTATATAAATTTTACCGGTAATACTTGTACTGCAACATTGCAATAGAAGCAACCACTACTACTACTACTACTACTACTACTACTACAACTACAACTACTACTACTACTACTACTAATTGTTTAAGGAAGAACAACGAAAACAAAAAATACATCAGCTCTAAGTTGGTCATCAGTTAGCTTATATGTTCGGTTATTTACTTCTCACTCTGACGTCATCAAGCAATCATGTGACGCAATATCCGGTCTGAAACAGCGGACAACTCGAAGTGCTCTGCGCGTCTAACAAACGAAACGCTAATGCATTCATTTGGCGCTCTATTGAAAACAAAATCAAATGAAAATTTGATTTTTTGAATTAGGTTTTTTAAATATTTCCACAAAACTTCACCATTTTGGTTAAAGAAAAACTCGAAAAAAGCTTTTGTTAACACAGTCTAGACTGTATATAACAATCGCAGACAGTATTTAATGAATTTTATACAAAGAATTGAAAAAGACTGAAGGTTTTTATAGAAAGAAATTAATATCCTGGGAAGCATTTCTGATTAACGTTCGTAAGTAGAGGTCCTTTGACTGTTCAGTGTTCGCGTTCACCACATCAAAAAACGTCTGATAAAATTTTATAACGAAACAGCATGAACTAAAATTTTGTGTACATTAGCCAGAGTTGTTGCATAAAAATACAATGACACACGATCATGATGGATAACCTAGACAAAAAAAAATCAAAAAGATGAAAAATATTGAAAAACGTGTCGGAAATTACGTCACCATAAAGGGCATGGTGATAAATATGAAAAACTTTTTACCAAACTAGAAAAAAAAATTGCCAAAATCATTTTTCAGCCAATTTCCAAAAGTACGAATGATCAAAAAAAGAGAAACAAAAAAAAAACAAATACTAAAAAATGACCTCAAATATTTTCAATAAATCAAAAGTTGCAAACAAAAAACTAGAGAAAAAATGTGTTTGCCATAAAAGAAACGTGTAAAAATGAAATCAGTAAAAGAAAAAATTTTTACAATTCAAACTACAAAGACATTATAAGAAAAGATTGTTCAAATATACCAAATCAAACCTGACACAACAAGCAGTAAACTAACTCTTTACCACAGGACAAACACGACGTATCAAAAAACACGACGCACAACAGAGAAATTCTTCACTCCAAACCACACTGAACCCAACACACGACACAACCAACAATGCAATCATTCATTTCAAACAACACCACATCGGTCCATATACGTTAGGCTAAAGCACGCAGTAGCACACAATACAACACGCTAATTATTGGCTGTAAATCACACCGGAAGAAACTACACGCCCCAGCATACAGCACGGCAACCGACAACATTGTAATCACTCACTTTGAATCACATGAAACATCGAACTTCATCAAAAGATCACACACACACTCATAACACACACCACACACACACAAACACACACCAGTTCAAACCACACGACGACAATACAAAACACAGCAACGTTATTAATCTTTTAAAATCACAAGAAACCACACACACACACACACGCACACACACACACACATGCCCACACAAACACGCACACACACACACACACACCAGAGAACGATATAACGCCCCACACCAAAATGAAATTATTCACCAGCATTCTCCACAGTGAAAAATTGACGCCCCAGTTCAATTTATTACCCGGCCAGGTTCTTGCTTCCTTTGTAGGTATGAGTTGGATGAATTTAACGAGTAGTTGATGGTGACAATGGTGGTTCAGAGTTCTACTATGAGTATGATGATGATGATGAAAAAGATTATGATGACTATTATGATGATGATGATGATGATGATGGCGACTCTGATGACGCCACAGATACGTCACTACGAATGAAATCGTTAGACGTAATGTTTTATTTTTTTTAATTTTGATTGATTAGCGAGAGAGAGAGAAATGGCGACAAGAAACAAGAAAGAGTAATTAAAATTTTGATTCAATAACTTATCAAAAAAAAATTGTTTAATAAGCAGTTTTTTCAATTTTTAATTAATGAAAATTACTATTTATTCAATCAATTAAAAATTTAATTTAAGTCCTTGTAAAATGCATTTTGCAATGCAATTAATCTATATGAAATTTTTAACTTTGCTTTTCTCACATGAAAATGACGAGCACGAAAATGATGATGATGATGATAAAACTCAAAAAATTCAATCCGTCATTCAGTAGATCGATCATGAAGTTTTTTTTTTTACTCACTCATTCACTCACTCATTCGTTTGTTCGTTCGTTCGTTCGTTCGTTTGTTCGTTCATTCGTTTGTTCGTTCATTCGTTCATTCATTCATTCATTCATTCATTCATTCGTTCATTCATTCATTCATTCATTCATTCATTCATTCATTCATTCATTCATTCATTCATTCATTCATTCATTCATTCATTCATTCATTCATTCATTCATTCATTCATTCATTCATTCATTCATTCATTCATTCATTCATTCATTCATTCATTCATTCATTCATTCATTCATTCATTCATTCATTCATTCATTCATTCATTCATTCATTCATTCATTCATTCATTCATTCATTCATTCATTCATTCATTCATTCATTCATTCATTCATTCATTCATTCATTCATTCATTCATTCATTCATTCATTCATTCATTCATTCATTCATTCATTCATTCATTCATTCATTCATTCAGGCAAATTTCAAAGCAGCGTGCCAACATACATTCGGTTATTTATTCAAACGTAAAACAACCAGTTTTCAATCAGCAAGAGTCAGCACTACCTATCATCATCGTGAAGATTGCTCGGCTAGATTGCTCTTTTTTTTTGAGAATCGAGAGTTGAAATAAATCGTCAGCATAAATTATTCACCGTTACATTTCAATTATTTAGTAAAATTTTTTTCGTTGAAATGTTAGAGTTAAGTTTTTCAATTTTTGCAAAAAAATTATTTCCGTTTTATCTTTTTACTTACACATACTATTTTGTGTGTGCGTGTTTGCTTGTGCGTGCGTGCGTGTGTACGTTCAAATATTCATTTTGTTATGTAATATGCACTGTCAAGTTTCATATTTTTTATTTAGTTGAACCAATAGTTGAAGAGTTCATATCCTATGATGAACATTAAACACAACGTTTTTCGTCCGTTACAGATAAGGCTTGCATTTCAATGGAAGGATTTTTTAGAACTACAAAACTAGAAAAATTTGTTGAGGTAATATGATACACGTGTGTAAGAACGCACAAATTACCACACATATTCACGCAGACACAATCATTCAAAAACATGCATTCGCACGTATCTACTCTCGCACAGACCTAGCAGAGTGAGAGTTGATGTAGGATTTTTGTGTATTCATGTGTGACTGTGTGTACTTGTGTATTCTTGTATACACGAGTGAGTTTAAATTTATGTGTGTATATACGTTTAAGTAGGCGTGTGTATGTGTATGTGGGTGTTTGCGTGTGCGTGTGTAGGTGTGTGTGTGTAGGTGTGGTGAAAATTAATACCCAGGCTAAATGGTTCCCACTCGAGATTGTTATGTTGTTGAAGTTGTCATTTGTCGAGTGTCTTAATGTGGTTTTTTTCTGTGTGTGTGTGTGTGTGTGTGTTTGTTTGTGGGTTGTTTCATTTAATGATTAGTTGGTTAGTTAGTTAGTTGAGTGATTGATTGGCTCAGTGGTAGTTATTTGATAATTGTCGTAATAGAAGTAGTAGTAATTATAATAATTGTGATTGTAGTCGTAATAGTAGTGGCTGAAATAGTTGTAGTAACAGTATTAGTAGTAGCAGTGGTAGTAGTAGTAGAAGTAGTTTTAATAGTAATAGTAGTAGTGGTAGTAGTAGTTGTTGTTGTTGTGCTAGTATTAGTAGTAGTAGTGGTAGTAGTTGTAATAGTGATAGTAGAAGTAGTAATAATAGTATTAGTGGTGGTGGCAGTTGTAGTAGACGCGTGAACAAATTTTTTTCGATAAAAATCTTTTGCGCGAATGGTATATTTAATAAAATTTTTTCAGAGAAAAAAAACCCCGAAAAACGAACAAAATTTTGAGATATATGGACTATAATTTGAGTAATCTATCAATCAGACCTGTCTTAGGCTGTCTATTTTGTTTTATTTTTTTTCCATATATTTTTTTCATACTCAAACAAAAATCCATCCATTTTGTTTTTCCTTCAATTTTTTGCAAAATGTAATCATGAGTTTTATTTTTTTTTCATTATGGCAAAAACGTGCGTCCACGTTTTACACGTTTTGCTGTTAAGTTGCTAAAATTTCTCCATGATTAATGATGTTTTTTTTATAAATATTATCAGCAGCAACAACAGTAGCTACATCATCGTCACCACCACCACCACCAGATCATCATCATCACAATCATCACCATCATCATCTCTACAATCAATACCATCACTAACCTCATTTTCAAGTAGGTAGGAATACTCAATGAACTTTGGAAAACAGTAGATGAAGCAGACAAGCATGAGCAGAGCTAGCTGCCTCTTTGCTCTGACAACGGTGCACAGCTTAGCGGCTTTGAACGGCTGGCACACAGCTATGTATCGATTCCAGCCTATCAAGACGACTAACCATATTGTAGCCGTTTGGAAAAATAGAGCTACAGGGAATGAATATTTTTTTATTTCAATGTGATCGTAAATCTCGTAGAACTCGACGCCGTGAGATATAACGAAAGCAATGATGACGAAAAACAAAAAGAGGGAGTCGACGACTGCCAGCGCCTGCAGTAAGAAGGAAGTCGACGTTTTCACACTGTCCATGGAGAAAACTATGTAGGAAATTAAATTTCCAACAATGCCAAATATGGCTATGAGCCCGATAGCGATGCAGCTGGCGAAGAAATCGTACATTAGACAGGCGTATGTGACGTTGTCCATTGTTTCGTTGTCGGTGTTGTTGTTGTCGCCGTGAATGCCGCTGTAGTTGAGCAAGCTGCTGAAGTTGTGGAGGTGGCTGTCGTTGCCACTACTGCTCATGTAGTTGAAGTAATTGTCGTTGAGGTAGTTGTAGGTGGCGTCGTAGGATGCTTGTACGTCGTTCGACATTTTGATTGGATGGTTGGCTTGATGTAATTTTGTTTTTTGTCGTTAAATGGTTGTAGGATTGTTTTTTTTAAATTGTACGTTAACCTTTGTGGCTAGTTCATTATTTTTCTCTGCGGAACTTCAGTGTAGTTTTAGAATCATTGATGTTCTGAAGACGTGAGACAAGATGTCATCAACTCTGTTCAAACAACAAATTGACTTTATAATTTCATTTAATTGAGTGCATCATTAAAGATTGAGTTAGAAGTTTTGCTTCAAAAATTAGAAAAATACTTTTGAAATTTTTCCTGAAAGTAAATCCTAATGTAGGATGATTATAAAGTGCTTTTTCAGTTGAAATCAGGGTTGGTCTTTAATGACGCATCAAATAATGATGCTTTTAAAGAATTATATATACTACAATATATAAACTATATATTATATAGTAAGTAAAAAAATTATATACTGCTAAATTTAAATTAACTTTTTTCAACGTTTAGCTTCCCTTTAATGTTCTTTTATTTTTTGTCAGCTTGTTTTCAAAGTTTTTGGATGTTAAATTTAAATTTAATTTGTTTTTCATTTATGTTATAGTATCCTTCATTCAAAGAATGAATTAATTTAAAGTTTATTTAAAGATCGGAAAAATGCTTCATAAAATCAGTCAACTTCACCTAAAACTTCAAAATTTGTAAGTTTTATTTTAAAAAATTAAATGATGAGTTGCCGAAAAAGACCACTTTAATTTTTTTTGATTCAAAGAACCCTTCATTCAAAGAATGAATTAATTTAAAGTTTATTTAAAGATCGGAAAAATGCTTCATAAAATCAGTCAACTTCACCTAAAACTTCAAAATTTGTAAGTTTTATTTTAAAAAATTAAATGATGAGTTGCCGAAAAAGACCACTTTAATTTTTTTGATGAAATATATTCAGAACGCTGACAAAAATAGCTAATAACATTTCAGATGTTAAAGTAGCTATGTAATCATAATGATAGTTGAGTTATAAAAATAGTTCACGAAGAGACTACAAATTTACAGACATAAAGCAGCTTAATGTAAGATAATATAACGTATAATTAATCAGAGCATGTAATACTGTATATGATAAGAATGAGGTGACATACAACAGGGGATGACTGGTTAGAAGGAGTTTTTATAACTTGTTAAGCTCTAAGGAGCAAGATCTCCTCGTTTATAATAGGCGAGTTAGTGAGAGTTATCTCTTTAACACGCCTAAAGCAGTTGAACACTCTTTGATAATCATTACATTATTTTTATAAGCGTTATTCAAATTTACAATTAAAGTTTTGTTATAGTATTAAACAATAATAATTATTATTAACAATAATGGGTGATTCGTTTCTCTTTCGATTTCGATCATTAAACTTTATAACATTTTAAACACTAGCTAATACTCAACACACGTGAGTCACAAGTTAAAGTCATTTCACATTATTTTATGTACATGAACAATATCGAGTTATTTAACGTTGAGCGAGCGAGTGGACAATCGAAAGGATTTCTCCAATAACGAACCATGTTGTTCGTTAGGTAACCGTCGTAGAATGGTGAAAAGCGAGCAATATAACAATATGCATTGATTAATAAACGCATGAATAGATTTGTTTTGTGTTTCGGTGTTACACAATTATACAACATAATTTTAGAAGATTTTATCTATTTTCAAAATTTTTTTGACCTGAAGAATTTGACTCTTAAGAAGAATCAAAATTTATGTCTTAAGGCAAAATAGGCAAAATTTTATTTCAGAACGAAACATAAATAATGATTTTAACATTTTCATGACTCTTTAAGTATATTTCAAAATAAGGTAACATTGTTATTTGTAGCCAGTTTTTATTTTCATTTCAACTTGAAAAAAAATATCAAAATCAAGAAATTTTGAAAATTAATTGATGAAACCATAAATGAAAATAATAGAGCTTTTCTAAGAACAAATGAATCTTCATCTGAATGCTCATCATAGGATTTAGGATTTAATTTTTTTTCATTATAAATTTCTTAATTTGTACAAGTCATTTGCCATTTTATCAGCACAAATAATGACAAATCATGAATTTTAGAAAAATTTTTAACTAAAACATAACAAAACTTTTTACTAACAAGAAAATTAGCCTGACGTTCTACAAAATAATTTTCCCATAATATTTCCAAATGCTAAAAACTTTTTTTGCATTAAATTCTGTTTCATAAAAACAGTACAAGCTGGAAAATTGCTATATAGCCAAAATTGCTAAAAAAAAATTAGCTGAGAACTGTCGCATGAAAATCTTTGAAAAACGTCTGACCTGCTCCTAGTTATATTTCTCTTGCCGTAAAACTGTTTCACGGTCATATGTTATGCGGAAAAAAACATTTTAAAAATTTACGCGTTCCTTTTTTGTTTGCAAGAACAAAAAAAGTACAATATTTTGTACTATAAACAGTAGCGGTAACAATATTAATAGTGGAAGTACTGACAGTATTAGTAATAGTTGTGGTAGTAGTAATAGTTGTGGTAGTAGTAGTATTACAGTTGTGCTAGTAGTAGTGGTAGTGGTAGTTGTGGTATTAGTAGTAGTAGTAATGGTAGTTTTATTATATTTTTCTGATTATTCGTGGCACTTAGAAGACTGATAAGATCGACCAGACCAGACCGCTGAATGCGGACAATTGGTGATGTTAATTGGAGCAAGATTTATTTCTCTTATACAACTTGCGCTACTGTCGTTACTACTGCTGCTTCTACTACTACTCTCCGTACTACTACTACTACTACTACTACTACTACTACTACTACTACTACTACTACTACTGGTACTACTACTACTAATAATAATAATATTAATAATACTATTACTACTACTGCTGCGATTACTATTACTACTATTAAAACTACTACTACTACTATTCCTACTTCTACTACTCCTACTACTGCCACTATTACTACTACTTCTACTGATGTAAAGTTTCTTCGCGTTCTTTATTTTTAATTTCAGGAAACAATTCTCCATTGAATCAGATGTCCAAACTTTGCCATACATTTTTACATCAATTGCATAGACAACAACAATAAAAACAACACTAACAACCTTTAATAAAAACACCGAACAAAAACAACACGCAATAAAATTGACACTAATGACAATAATAAAACTAGTAAAACAACACTAATTATAGCATCTACAACGACGAAAACATCACACGAACAACGCACTCCACAGAAATCATTCGAGCGATTCTAATTATGAACATTAAGTCGGAGCAATTTGTAGCTTTTAGCAATTTGGCTGATAAAAAAACCAATAAATCAAACTCGAATTCTATTCTTAAACTCATTTTAACTCTAAATAACCTCAAGAATAGAAATAACCAGCACTAATTAATGATTATTATTTAGTGTTGGAACAACGCGAACAACAATAACAACAGCAGTTTCAAAATGTAGTTGTATTTATAGCCACAACAACAACAAAAACAACAACAACAATAACAACATTAACAGAGCTTCAATAACAACTAAATTAATAATAATAATAATAATAATAATAATAATAATAATAATAATAATATTACTATTTCTTCTTTTTGTTAAAAAAATCATAATGGGCAAAAACGTCAACAAACTGTGCCTCTGTTGAAATTGCCTGCAATAAAATGTTTCAAAAAAACCACCGTAAAACAAGGGGAATAAAATTTAACGTTAATATACAGACAGCCTTTATGTAAATTACTTTAAAAATTAAGAAATAATTCCTCAACTTGATGAAGTAAGTTAATTTTAGAGAAAATTTGGAAAAAGAAATGAAGCTAATTAACGATTTAATTAATTAACTTGAAAATTTTAAACTTTCAAATAGCCATCATAAATAATGTGTACTTAGATGTACATTTTATACTCATGTAAAATACTAAAAGGAGAATTTTTACAATAATTATTATAAAATATTAATTATATTAACTCTACGAAACATTTATTACTTATCTTCGAAAATTTCTTAATTCCATTTTACAGAAAAATTTTTTTAACCTAATTAAACCATTGTAGAAATTATTTGAATTCGTTTATAAATGAATAATGATTCAACAAAAAAAAAATGTACTTACCCACAGGGTGCGGTCTGCATAAAGCCTGAAAGATGATTCTTGTTAGAAAAACTTGTGCGGTGTTTTACAAAATGCTTCAAACAATTTTTTGGATTTTAATGTTTGCATATTCATTAGATGAATCATATTTACTTTGTTTTTTTTAGAAAAAAAAATTTTTATTATGAAAAATATTTATTGGTTTATAAAAAGTTCAATTAGGTTTTTAATTATTAAATAAATAAAGTGCTTTAATTTTAGATCCTAATTAATTTTAAATGTTAAACAATTTAATAACAATCAAATCTCTTACTCAACCTAACCAAACTGAAACATAATTTCATCAACCTTATCCACATGGAGTAAAACTCTTCCAACCCTATATATACGTCCCCATATATACATACCTTCATTCATACATACAGACATGAATTCTTTCATTTCTTTTATATATACATACATACATTCATTCATACATATATACACACACACACAAACACACATACATACACACATACATACACACACACACATACATACATAAATACACACATACATACATACACATGATGCGTATTATCGTATTATACACACGTCTGTGGGTATTTCTAGGCAATTGAAATGTATTTAAGTTGCTTATTAGCAAGAGGAAATGCTAAGTGGTGTTAGACAGTTTTCTAAGACGTGCAATTAAGGTGTGCAAATTTAACGTCGCTTTGCATCAGTTTCCATGTGAGCTAGTATGTCTCTTTGTATGTTTGTTTGTATGTCTCTATGTATTTTTTTGTATGTTTCTTTGTATGTCTCTTACCACGTTTATTTGTACGTTTGCTTGTATGTCTCTTTGTATGTTTGTCTTCTTTTTGTATATTTTTTTTCAAACTTTAAGTTCACCTTTTTCATTATATTCTCATTTCCTATCTTTTCTCT